TGTCCACATAAGTTAAATAAATTTGAGTTGTTTTAAAGTGATGCTTCAAACCGAATGTCTAATATGTCTTAATTGACAGGCCAGCAGTAGTGTGTGCTCAATTCTGAATGGGAACAAGGCAAGGCTGCTTTTCACTTTATATTGCTTGAACTGCATATCCATAGTCTGCAGTCAACAAGATATTTGCTGCCTTCATCATTTTTTCAGTCCTGTGGGAAATCTTAGTTTCAGCCAACCTGATTTTGTAGTTTATTTAAAAGAAAATCTTAAAAAAAAAGCTGGGCATGGTGGCGCACACCTGTAATCCCGGCACTCGAGTGGCTGAGGCAGGAGAATTGCTCTGCGTTCAAGACCAGCCCGAGCTACATAGTGAGTTCTAGGTCAGTCTCAACTATATAGTGAGACCCTGTCTTTTAAAAAAAAAAAGAAAGAAAAGAAAATCTAGTTCTGATCTTGTATTAGTTTAGCTTCATCACTTGCTAGCTTTGTGATCCTAAGAAATTTCTGTGACTTGGGTTCTTTAACAAAAAAGAACTAAAATTAGCTACTATGGGTTGTCAAGACTGAAGTAATGTACATGTAGCATAAATTTGGTACATTGTGGCAGGTACATAGTTGCTGTATAGATTTTGGCTTCCTTTCTGATATCATAAATGATACAGTCACCCACCAGTTTCCTGAAATACTATCAAGGATATGACCCCAAATGGTATGCTCACAGAGGTATCCTGTCTGGTCAAAAGGGAAACCCTATGTTATAAAAGATTTTAAAGAGTGAAATTTTTAATTGAAAGATTTGTAGATGACTACTATTCACAGAAAAGCTGCATATCTACTGTGTACTAGTGCCTGGACACTAGAGGATATAATAGAAACAGTAAGCTTTGTCTCTTGTCCTCAGGATCTAATGGAAGAAATAAGTTAATAAAATGAAGTTATAGTGCCTTCCATGACTGTAGTGACAGATATGCACAGGCTCCTCCAAGAGTTCCTAAGAGGGAGCAGTCTGCCTGGAGGAATGGAAACCAAACAAATTCTTCACACAATAACTAGGATTTTACCAAGCAAAAAGGAATGGAAAGAATATTCCAGGTAGAGGAGCTTGGTGGGATGAGGGAGAGGCTGTAGAATTTGAAAATAGGGAGAGAAATGTATAAGAAGTGAAATTAGGTCCTAGTAAGGAGTTTAGATCTGTGGGTAAGGAGGCCAAATGGGAAATTTCAAGATGCAGACACATATAGAAATGGATTCTCGAGTGACAGTTGGCATTTACTGTTTACTGTGATTTTTGTATATTAGGAGAGTGTTTCTACCCATACATGCACACTGTATCTTAGGGCTAGTACGTAGTATTAGCATTCTAATGGGATTAAAGAAAACTGTCACAGTTAACACTGCTTAAATTAATTCTGGCAGCTAGCATAAGCATTTGCATTGTTTCTCCTCCTCCATTAACTTAGGTTTCTGCAGCAGAATCAATTTTTAAAAAGTGATTTCAAAAGTTGGTAGTCCTCTCAAGAGATATGGGCCTCCACTTACTTCCCTGAGAAACACAGGGAGTGGGGCAATGAGTGTTTCTTTCTCCTTGTTTCTTTAAGAAAGCATTCATTTTTATACAGGGGAGAGCTGAAGAGAAGGACCTTATAAGGAAACTAAATAGTTTCTTCAGGACATGAGTAGAATGAGTGCCTAATAATGTATTTGCCAGAAACGTACTCTGTCAGGACTCGTTTTGGTAAACTTGTCTTCTTTCATTGGTTCCGGGATCTCAACATGCTGTAATGCAGCTTTTACCACCATGAAACATTCAGGGGCTGCCTCATTTTGTTGTGAGGAGACAGTATTGCTTTCTGAGTTATTGCTCTGGCAGCTCTGTAAATTAGCCCATGCTGTCACCATGCCGTCTCTGAAGGGCACACTGTACCCAAATGACTGCATTTAGGATTGACTCTTGCTACTCCCTGCTGCGTGACACTTCTCTCCATTTGAATCTGTATCCAGCTTTTTGTGTTCTTAAGTGTGGGCCACCCACAGATTGCCACCCAGGCTCCTTAGCCAAAGAAACTTGGTAAGACTTCTGGTCCAATAATTTTCCATTGGATCAGAACCTACCTTAACTCGAATTCCCCTTCCATTTCAAACCCTAAATGTTGTCTAACTCCCCACTCTCCTTTATTTTTCTCTTTAGCTCTTGCCAGACTCCTTGTTTCTTGAGGCCTCCGCTTGGCTCGCTCCACCTTTTTAAATGCTCAGAGTTCTTCGTGGCTAGTCTTCCTTTATCTTCTTTCTTAGGTCTTTTAGGCTTGCATTCGCCAAGTTCTCCTTCCATATGGCATGTCTTTTCCTGGACTGCTCTTGAAGAATGGAAAAACCACTTAGTTTAGTGTCTGCTTTGTATCATTCAAATCCGGAGCATTAAGCAGTGTTTGAGTGCTAGTTATGTTTAGTCTAGGACAAGATACTTGGGATTGCAAGAATCTGGAAGTTACCATTTTAGAGGACAAGTTCTACACTAATTAGCAGGTAGCAGTTGAAACTGTTTAGATGAGTAGTAGATGAGGGACTTAATTCAGAAAAGAATTGAGATAATCATAGTGGTCAAAGGTCATCATCCTATGTGAAGAACAGTGAAAGATCTAAGACAAGAAACAGCTGAGAAAGTTTTACCATTTGGGTGGATTTTATTTAGCTGTTTGAATTTCACTCATTATTTATACACTCATGGTAGAAAAAAACCACAATTAGGTGAGTCTTTAATGGAGTTATTTCTGTTCTACTAGGTTTTTTTTTTTTTTTTTTTTTGGTACCAGTGATTGAACTTGGGACCTTGTGCTTGTGAGGCAGGCAGCAGCACCACTGAGCTAAATCCCCATCTCTGTTCTACTTTATAAGTGAGAGTATAACAAAGCAAACAGGTACTAGGATTATCTCATATGGCAGTTTGTAGGATACATGCTAGTTCAGCATAAGTTCAACTCAATTTCATACATCCTCAACAACTTTGGCCTACTGGGGAAGCAGTGCTGTGATGGCAGCAACAGGATTGGAGGTAGAGTGCCCTGGGTTCAAACTCTGCAGCACTGATCTTGGGTCAGGTACTCATCCTCTGTGAGCTTCAGTTTCCTTTAACAGGCTACTGCCTGCTTTAACATGGTCCCACCTGCTTGAACCATCCGGGAAATGTGCATGACTGTCCTATCAGGCAGTTTGTACCACTGGTGGTACAAATGGATCTAATTGCTTTTATTGGTCTTTACTAATAAAATTAATGAAAAAGTCCCCAGTGGTATAGTCATGCATGTACCACTGGTGGTACAAATGGATCTAATTGCTTTTATTGGTCTTTACTAATAAAATTAATGAAAAAGTCCCCAGTGGTATAGTCATGCATGTACCACTGGTGGTTCAAGCCAACTGGCAATAGGATGTGAATTACGGCCCGTTGTGAACGTGTTAGAAGATGGTTTTAAAACTATAGTGAGATAATGCCTGGGTAGTCCCTTGTATTTTGACACATATATAGAAAGCAGAATAACTCACATTTTTTTTGAGCTTCTACTGTGTTCCAGGCACATTTGATGCATTCACTTTTTGAATCATAGCAGTTCAATGAGATGGCTAGTTTTATTCCCAATTTGCATGTGAGGAAACAGGCAGTTTGCTCAGGATCACAGAATTGGTAAGTGGCAGAGTGAAGATATAATTTGACAGTTAAATCCCATTGCCCACAGTATGATCCACTGTGTTGTACACGTCTTGGCTCTATATTAATTTATGCTTTTATAACATCTAATGTTGACTGATGTTCACTTGTGTAAGTGAGTGTACTGCTAGTTATTTAGACCCCAGGTTGTCAGATTCAAAGGTGATCTTAATGTTTATCTAAGTTAACCACTCCATCTGATGCTCAAGTCCTCTCAGGAGCATCCCTGCCAAGTAGTGTTGAATCTATAAACAAAGATTCAGTTATGTTCAGTATACTATGCTTAGTAAATTACAAAGTTAGATGAGTAGATTAATGTTAAGAATTTAAAAAGAGGCTAGAATGAAATATTATTCTGGTTAATTTTAGGCCATCAGGAAACTCTTCTAAATAAGAGCGTAGTTTCCTAAGCAGCCCATATAATTGGTTTCAGTTTAGGTCAAAAACACTGACTTTCTTAAAGTTTATCCAGTTCTTGGCCTTGGCTTTGACTTAACCTTTATAAGAAAAATCAAAAGAAAAGCTGGAAATTTTTGCCCTCTTTAAACTGTGCTGAAGGTTCAGAGGTAGAAACTGGCCCCAGGGCACTTGTTGCCCAAGGATTGCACTTGGGTTGGGCCAGGGTCATGTTCTCCATTTTGAATATGAAAGCCTTGTTTTCCTGAGATACTTCTTCAAGCTTAAGAGATATGTAAAGATAACAAACAGCATAAGGATAGTAGCTTGGTAGCTGCTGTCTTCTGTCCTGAGGTGGGAGTCCACAGAGGAGGCAGAAACATTTTTCTGCAAACCATAATTCCTGATGGGAGTGTTTCCATTGTACCTCTTAGGTATACTCTACATTTATCTATATGATGGTTTACTCTGTCTTATTTTATCCTTATGATAACCTGCAAGGTCTTTTTTGTACACATTTTGAAGAAAACAAGCCTAGGGAATTGAGCTACTGTGCCCAACGTCTCACAGTAGGGAGTGAGACAAAGCTGGAGCCTAGGTCTTCAGGCTTCTCATCATGTGACTTTTCTACAGTATAGCAACTCCTATGGAGAATGTGTGGGCCGTTCATTAAGTGTGCCCTGAATTCTTGAATGCTTACTGATTTGCCCAATAAGCATGGTATAGGGGATTTAAGAGATCCTGTAGAAGATTTAAGAGAAACGCGTAACAAGTTCTCTGCCTTCCTAGTACCACTATCTGTTGAAAAGGCCAAATAAGTGCATGTTTGTATATTTCACAGATTTGTTAAA